GGAATATTTTGTCACAAAATTGTTGCGAATTGAGTTTCTTAATTTCTATCATAAATTTTATTTTATTTATTGTATTGGCCAGCATTTTATGGAAACCTAACCATGCAAACTAATCCAAATTCCCACTATGTGATATTGTTATTATCAATAACAGCTTAATATATAGGTACCTTGGGATGCTTTAGCTTCTTTTTTTTTTAATTTTATTTAAGGTGACTACCTATCTCAAGACTTAAATTCAAAATCTCATGATAAGCTCAACTCTCTCAATTAATTGAACTAAGTGCCCTTAGTTAATTTTTTGTTGTAATGCATACTTGGATTAAATAACTATTGAATAGTATGGATAATACATAATTTAATACTCCTCCAATCCTATTATAGGGAAGATAGAAAATATTAATTTTAGTTCTCTTATAGGGCACTTCAATATTGTTCATGTTCATCTTTATCTTTCTATCTTAATTAAAAGTTAGAAAAAATTATTAAAAATAATTATTTTTTGTCCTTACTAAGGGTCTAGGTAGAGACTATTAAATTAAGATAGAGTTAGTAAAATTTAAAATTTTTTTAATTTTAATTAAATATGTAGAAGTGATTTATAAATAGAATCAGTGAAAGTAATTTTTATTTTAATCAACATGTCTTTACAAATTACAATGTTAAGGCATGGTATCTCTTAGTGATGCCTATCATCACAGGATAAAATGCTTAAGAAAGGCAACACTTCATCACAATTATTTTGAAACAAAAATTGAAACTTTAAAGTTTAAAGTAATAATTTAAAATGGATATGGGGTACACTATAGTCAAAATTCAACATTGTTGATTGTTCTTGTGGTCATAAGTATTAATTAGGGTGCTAGCTTGATTGCTAGGTAGCCCCTTTGGGATTGGGATTGAGTTTTTTTCCCTTTAAAATTGCTGAATTTACGAGATAAAGTTAGATCAGAAAGTGACGCTTGTTTCATTACATTCAATGAATAATAAGCAAGGTAACTTTTTGGCAAAAAAGAAAATAAATAAATAAGCAAGGTAACTGTTTTTAGAAAATGATAGCTCGCCGGAAAGAACAAAATCAGGGAATTTTTTTTTTTTTTTTGCTGGGTTGTGGGGGGCCATTTTGTAGATTTCTCCCCTTTAATACACCATTCGTTTTTTTCTTTTTTTCATTCGAGAATTTTTAAAGAATTTTCTGATTCGTCTAATATATTTGTTAGAATTTTTATGTGTACTCTCATGAATAAAGGAGAATTATATTCACAATGGACCTAATTATCCCACTGATCCTATTATAAAAAAGAGAGAATTTTATTTTGATTGTATTAAGTCATTTCTCTTATTTTGGGTCTATCTTTGCCATTTTGCTTCTTTTAAATGCTACAAAATTATTAAAATTTTTTATTATTTTATTTTTAAAGTATATTCAAGATAAAAAAAAACTTTTGTCTCTCAAGTTTATCTCGATTATTGATTTGGTCCTTTAATTTTAATTTTTATCATTTTAATTCTTTATATATTTTTTTAAAAATTATCATGTAAGTCCTTTAAATTTTAAAACGCAAGTTGACTTTAAAAAATATGAATGAATTCTACTGTTTAAAGTTATTAATAATTTGGCATGTATATGTAGTTAAATAAGAATAAATTAACCCTCAAATTAATTAATCAATTATACTAAAACTAAAACATTAAATAAAACAATGTACACACACACATATATAACAATTATAGAAAGAAATAAATATTAATCATTAATCTGAAGGAGTAACAGATATAAATAAATTTAAGAAGACAATTATACAATACATGATATGTGTGAATCAGTAAGTAAACAATTATTATTGAAACATTAAATAATAGTGTGTGTCTTTAATTTTATCAATATAATATTTTACAATGTTTTTTGCTCTCTTGTTTTTAAAATTTCAAATTCTATTTATTTCTTACCTAATTAATTATACTCATTTACATGGATACCATCAATATTACATTATCCAAGTAGGAAAAATTTTAACAATGTAAATAAGGACCAAATTGATAATGAAAATAAACTTAAGGGACTAAATTGATAGAAGTTAAAGTTGAGGGACCAAATTGATGATGAGACAAACTTGAAGGACTGAAAATTGCATTATACTATATACTCTCTCTAGTCCTTAATATAATACAAAGATTAAACATTTTTTCCCTTAATAAGAGACAAATCAGTGTAATTTTTTTAATTCTACCCTTTTTATCGTTTGAATTCCTAGGGAAAAAAATTATTGTGGTTATTAATTGTAATTAAGGAAGAATAAAGTTGCAAAGTAATATTTTTTTTACAGTTTCAAGAATATAACTAGTACTTCTTAATATGCACAAAATTAATTAAATTTTCCTTATATTAAGGACTTGAGGGAGCATTCATTTAATCAAAGTATTCCTTACAAACAAAAAAAAACTACCAAGCATGCAAGAGATGTTAAGTCTCAAAAAATAACAAAGAGTTCTTGAACTCCCTTACTACAGTTTACCTAGATGTAAGATGCAATGAGATTGGAAAAATGAGTGTTTGATTAATAAAATATGCAAGATACAATATGCTAAAATGATCATAAAGGTTACAAAGCCGAAAATGATGCTAAGATGTTGGACATACAAACTAAAATGCTAAAATGAGTATTAAGAGTCAATTATTGTTGATGTCCATTCTTGGTTGTTTTTCTCATATTTATAATGTGCACAGGTCGTCGTTAGGTGTTCACAATTGTTAGCTTGTGCTTCTGAAAAATCCACAGATGAAGTTCATGATCCTATGAGATTTGGGGCCCATTAAGATTATGGTTTCATATGAGGCAACGATCTAGATTGTGACTCTGAGATTTAAGGGATTTAAGGACCTATGCTTACTTGGTCAGACCAATCTACCATAATATGGACTGGATCTATCATTGTTAGATCCCTTATTAGGCATGACACTTTGTTCATTTGGCCTAATTCCTACTTTAACCACTGTATTCTTTTGAATAGGCACTATTTCAGTTTTAGCCCAAACAAAGAACAAAGCTGTTAAATTTTTTAACAGAATTAATGAGATTTAAAGTTTTTGTAGTCCCAATAAAATATGTTGGAAATAACCTATAAATAGAACTAGAAGAAATAACTCCCTAAATAAATGTATGAAAAAATTTCATTTGTAAAATATTTATTGCATCTAAATAAATTTAACTATATTCATTGTTCTTGATGATTGGATCATTTATTTCTTATAAAAAGGATAGAAGGTACCCTATAGCCTACATTAGCTAAATTTAAAGAGAGGATAGATGAGTGAGTGAAAGAGAAAGTGCGTATTGGTGCAAGAAATGTTCTTAACATTGTTTCCCTAAACTTCAAGTTTTTCGGTAACATACCTATGGCTAAGAATGAGATGCCAAAATAAAAAAGAAGAAGAAGAAGAAGCTTAGTAACAAGGATATTATGATGCAAGGTGCAAATAATGTCACAAAAGAAGCTTTCAAATCAATTATCAAGGAAACAAATGATAAACCAATATAGATATCCTACAAGGCTTCATTAGTAAGGAATGAAAAGGAAGAAAAATAGAGAGAGTGGCAAGAAATGATCAAGGAGTAGCTGGAGGAAGAAGAACAGTTAGCCTTAAAGCTTACCAAAGAGCGAAAGGCAATTATAGAAAAACTACCAAAGCTCAAAATGCCTTATAAACATCAGCATGAATTATGCAAAGACCTGAAAAGATGCTCTAGTTGTGACTTTACTTGGAAGAAGATTAAACAAATTTGAGCTTAAAGAAAATTGAGCAATATATAGGCTATTAATGAATTTTAATTCATTGATATGGAAAATAACTATTATGTTATCAAATTTAGCGACCAATGCCACTATTACAAAGTGCTAAATGAAGGACCCTGGGTCATTCAAGGAAACTACCTAGTTGTTAAAAGATGGAGTCTTAATATCAATTCATATAGTAGAACTTTAAGAAAACTTGTAGTCTGGGTTTAAGTGCCTATTCAACTTTTGCATTACTACACTCCATATATTCTTTGGGAGTTGAAAAATCTCATTTGTAAGACATTGAATGTTGATATACAACCCTAAAAAAGAAGGGACGCCAAAATAATATTATAAAAAGAGGTGGTTATGCATAAAGAAGTGTAGAGGTAGACCTGAGCAAGAGGTTTGCTTCACGCTTTGTAGTTAAAAAACACATCTTTATCATTGCTTATAAGGGATTGGAAATCATATACTTCCATTATGGTCAATATAAGCATAAGAAGGAAGACTATCC